GACCTTCAAAAGCCTTCACACCGTGGTTTCTGCCTGCTTGTTGTCTTCTAGTATGTTCCGTGTGCACCTTCAATGCAGCTCAAACAGGCCTACACAGCCTCTGCAAGGCACCTGGCCTGCTCACTTGTCTGTCTAGACTGCTAGAGTGTTCTGCATGCTTCTGATGGCAAAATCCTGATCCTCCTCCATGGTGCTGCTCACTTCCCTTCCCATTTGGTTTTCCCTAAGTACTTTGTCAACAGCCTACTGTCTAATGTCCTCAGTTAGCACTTCATCAGAGACAATTATATCTAGGGAGCTTTGGTTAATTACTATAACTCCTCCTTACATATGTGCATATGCTTATCATCTTTCCTTAATTACACTGGAAGTAATAATTCATTCTCTGGAGCAGTGGTTTCCATAAATGCAAACTGGCTGCCAAAGATCTCCCCTGAGGAAATTACTAAAATGCAGATTCTTAGACTGCATGAGACGATAAGCTCATAAATCTAGGTGTAGCTAGGCATAGAACACAGGTGTAATATAATGATGGGGGGACTCTGGAATCAACACATTTACAAGCACATTTTATGATACTGATGAATTGCCAGGTTGGGAACTGCTGCTCCAAGAGAATCGAGCACAAAGCTCTGTACCTATAATGTGCTCACATGTTAGCTGTGTGCTTCTGGACTGATAATGAACTTGATCATAACAGTATTGTTATATTATACCTGTTGTTTCCCTAAGTGAGGAATACTATTGACTACCTACTGGTGTCAGGCTCTGTGGCTATTCACATTTATTATCTATCCCTTATAACCTGTTGAAATACAGTGGTATTTTCATTGGCATAAGAAGTCTGAGTCTAAGGAACTTGTTTTAGGTAATAGCAGAGCTAGAATTCTGACCTCTGACTTAATGAACTCAAAGTCCATGACCTTTCTACTCACCAGAGGGCATAAATTGGTGGCTCGTATCTACCATGCAGAGAGATTTCATTTGGACAGTACAATATTTAACCTTTACTGCCAACATTTCTAAATTGGTTTTTTAAAAATCCTCACCTGAAGATACTTTTTTCATTTATTTTCAGATAGAGTGGAAGGAGTGGGGGTAGGGAGAGAGAGAAAGATGGAAGTGAGAGAGACACATTGACTGGCTGCCTCCCACATGACCCAACCTGGGCTGGGACGAACTGCAACCAAGGTACATGCCCCTGACTGGAATTGAACCCACGACTTGTTGGTCCATGGGCTGATGCTCTAACCGCTGAACCAAACCGGCCAGGGCGAAATTGAGTATTTCGTATTAATATCTGGATTTCTAGCACTGGCCGGTTTGGCTCAGCGGTTAGAGTGTCAGCCTGCGGTCCACAGAGACCCGGGTTCGGTTCCCGCTAAGGGCATATACCTTGGCTGCAGTTTGTTCCGGCCCTGGTTGGGTCGTGTGGGTGGCAGCCACTCGATGTGTCCCTTTCACATCGATGTTCCTCTCTCTTCCTCTCTCTCCTTCCCGCTCTATCTGAGTAAAAAATGGAAAAATGTCTTCGGGTGAGGATAAAAAAAAAAAAAAATCTGGATTTCTAGCTTCTGTTAAGGGACAAGAAAAGATTTGGTAACACAGGTCCACACTCTTGTATGGAAACAATTAAGTGGAGCTTTCAGATGGATGTGGGCCCTAGAACCCACCATAGTCCCCTCTAGTCTCCATTCTCATCCATGGCTGGACCTGCTTCTCTTACACTGTCCCCATAGGTCTGTTTGCAGTGCTTGCACTCTTATTTACGATCTTGCTTCCATTGTTTAGGAGTTTGGTAAACCTACAGACAGCCTCTTTTTTTTTTATCCTCACCCAAGGACATTTTTCCTTTTTGTAAATTTATTTTTATTTTTTTTATTCAGACAGAGCAGGAGGGAGAGGAAGAGAGAGAAACATCAACGTGAAAGGGACACATCGAGTGGCCGCCACCTGCACAACCCAGCCAGGGCCGGGGACAAACTGCAACCGAAGTACATGCCCTTAGTGGGAACTGAACCTGGGTCTCTCTGGACCGCAGGCTGACGCTCTAACTGCTGAGCAAAACCGGCCAGGGCCAGACAGCCTCTTTTATTGTTCTGTCTTGGGTCTCTGATCCTAGAGGTGTGTGCATTTTTAACTTTGTGATTTCAATACTAAGGAACCAGATGGTACAACAAGGAAAACTGGGATCTTTGTTCCTTAAGCTATACATTCTGGCTGTGGCCTAGTAAAAAAAAAGTCTATATTTCATCTTTAAAAGAGTTGGGGAAGCCCTGGCCCATTTGGCTGAGCGATAGAGTGTCAGCTCTCAGACCAATGAGTCCTGGGTTTGATTCCAGCCAAGGGCACGTACCTAGGTTGTGGTTCGTCCCTAGCCCTGTTTAGGGTCATGCAGGAGGCAACCAGTCAATGTGTCCCTCTGACATTGATGTTTCTCTCTCCCTCTCTCTCTACCTACAGATAAGTAGAAAAATATCCTAGGTTGAGGATAAAAAAGAAAAAAAAAAAAGAGTTGGGGAAAATGTGGCAATTCAACTACTTGCTCTAATTCAATGGGATCTGCCATTAAGAATCCCACAGTGAGCAATGCCACCATGTGGTGGAGATTCCATGTAGAATTGTGACCCTCAGCCAGAGAGGCTGGGAGACAGAGGGCTGCTCTCAATTTACAGGGTCATTCAGAAACAAAAACAAAAACAAAAACAAAAACAAAAACAAAAACAAAACAAAATGCTTACCCCTCTCCATAAGCTGGTCCTTTTCAAGGTTGCCTTTAAAAAGCTAGAGACACAGGCTGGCAATTTAGAAGCTGTGCTTTCTGATGACTTTTTGGATCCTTTTTCTGTTTGTTCATTTCCTTAAACAAGCTACAATTGCTGCTGATTGAACGTTTCATTCTATACATTTTTTAAACATATGTTTTTATTGATTTTTTAGAGAGAAAGGGAGAGAGAGAAACATCAATGTGAGGAAGAAACATTGATCAGCTGCCTCCCGCACCACCCCCTATGGGGGAATCAAGCCCCCAACATGGGCCTGTGCCCTGACTAGTTGGCTAACTGGGCCCGCTCAGTCCACTGAGCCACACCAGCCAGGCTCATGCTATACATTTTTAATGTGTATTTCTGTTTTAGGAGAAAGTGAGCAGAGTTATTAAAGTCTTTTAGCATCAGTATAGCAGCAGAGTAAAACAATCTCTTTGCAAAACAGATTGAATCTCATGGGGATAGGATTTTACAATTCATTGAGCACTTACCAAGAAACTGTGCCAGGCATTTATATACTTTGTTTACTTAATATAAGCCTGAGAGATGGGTATTCTAATTTTAAATGTTAACAAACAGGGACCGAGGGTGAAGGACTAAACCTTTGACCCTTCTCAACACTGCTGAATGCCCCTTTGGAGACCTTCCAGAGAGACAGACCCTCAGAAATCCAGAATCACTTTAAGACATTACACAAATGAGAGGTCTTACTCTTCTTCACCTTATCTCTTAATGTGCATGAAAGCTAATATAAGACCTCTCTCATCAATTCTCAGTTCATCACCTGCTCTCTACCCTTATCCCCTACCCCCTTCAATGCCTTCCAAATAATTTTCTAACAGGAAGGTGAGCCAAGTTTAAATTAATTTACCTGGTCAGTGCAGGTATTTTGTTCTACATCCAACACAGTTTCCATTCTTTCAGAGATGGAGCATCTACTCTCTAAGTCAGGTAGGTATTGTTCAAGCACGGGAATTAAAACAGGATTAGAGAGAAAGGCTGAAGAACTGGACTTTTTTGGTGTTTAATTGTATAGAGGAAAAACAACACAAAGATGCATCCACAGTATTTAATTTGTTTGGATAATAGTTACAGATAAACGGATACACTCCATATACAATTACCAATACTTTTTTTATACAGTTCATATTTCAGTACATCAACACTCTATTATTTACACTATTATTTATGTACATTAACATATTTCTAAAGTCAGTGCATTGTCAACAAGTTTTATACAGTAATTTACAAGGTGAATGGAGTTAATAGTTAATTTAATAAATTTTCTCCTAGTCATGAATTAAAAAAATTAATTACAACCAATATAACAAACATAGATCAAACAACATTAGTAGATTGTGCTACCTGTTTAAATAAAATATCTGTAAGGAAATTACTTAAAATCTTCCATTTTTTTCATGGGACTTGTTCAGGTAGAAATGGACAGATTTTATATACTGAAAATCATGAAAGTATAAAGTCAGCATTTTGTCTGACTTCATCACATTATAGCATTTAGGCCAGTCCTTCCTACTTCAGTTATAGTCTTCTGACAGGGTTTCAACTTAGGAAAGCATTTAGATAACCTTTCCAAGTGCTATGAGAACTGGAGAGCAACTGGCCTCAGATATCAGAACACAAATGCTGAATTACACTGGTACCTCGTATCTATGAGGAAGAAAGGGAAATGGAATCTGATAATTAATGAGAACCAACTTCCAGGTCCAGATGCATACAAAAAGAATAAAAAAAAAGTGAAATATTTACCTTGAATATATATTTTCATAACAACTCAAGAAAAAGAAACGCTGCCTGAAATAAATAACATTTATATTTTTGTTCCAGTCTTGAATTATCAGAGAAAAAATAAAGTGAGCAAAGAAACATAACTTTTGATGACTACTACTACTGTGAAATTTAAAAAAGACAAACACCAAAAAAAATTAAATAAAATAATTGGACATGCAAACAAATCAAAACAAAACAAAACAAAACAGAAGTATACTTTTAAAACCACCAATTTCATTAAAAATACACACTATCAGTGTTTGGGATGTGTTTTGTTTTTAAACTGAATATGATGGGGGAAAATACCCCATTCAAGTTAATTATAGCCCTTATAGCCATCAAATATGAGCAAGTTTTGAAAAGTTCATTTGTATGTACTCTCTCCTTTTTTAAAGTGCAAAACAAAGAAACAGAGAAAAATAACCACTAGTTGTGAAACACCATTTAGCTTTGACGCCCTTTTCCTTCTCAGAAGCTCTTTGTGCAACATGTGCAAGTGAAGATGGTGCAAATATTGGCAACTTCCCTATCACACTCAGCAGCGGGGGTGGAACACATTCTTGAGGACACTTTGAGTATCCTCCAAAGTAAGATGCCTCTATCTGGAAGGCCATTTTAGCTGGATTTCCCAGGATGCTTTTTTTTTCTTTATAGGGTCTCCCAACCAAGGCCCTGGGTAGAAGGCACACAGCCCTTAAGAGACTCTCCCTTTCAGACTGACTACTATATATGGCTCTGCCACCATGACTGGTTGTGTCTCAAACACAAACACAACAAAAACAAAAAGCAAGAAAGATATAAAAAGAGCAGGAAAATACTTTAAAAAATAAATGGAAAAATCTACATCCATGCCATAAGAATCCTTTGCACACCTTCATGATCTTGCTTTCTCCATCTTGTCAATACAATGGAATAAAACTTCAGGAAAAAGGAGGTAGCATATCATGTCGTCCTCAGACAACAGTATAATTTTTTGTTTTACTTTGACTCCAAGGAAATTCTTAGTATTTTGTTATGATTATTGGTAAACTCTATACTCACTACATATTTGTTCACATCTGGACAAGCACAATTTAATTCTTATTTGGTCCCAGGTGGCTGGTGCCAAACCCTTTTGTTTACAGGCTAATGGTGAACTCTGCCTGAAATTCTCTTCCAGAGAACTTGTGTGAGATACTTCCAAACAAAATTATCACTACTGTTATGTTAACTGCTATTTTAATTAGGGTGTTTATTTTGTGCTTCAGGGTCACAGGATAAAATAACTACATTTAGTTTGCCTTTCAGCGACGCTTTTGCCAAATGTTAGCTACAGGGAGTCATCTCCCTCACCACCAGCCTGTCTAGCAGCCAGAGTGGTAGCTTACTGTAACACACAGTACTTTTTGTAATCAGACTCAAAGTCTTCATCCATGCTGCTTGTGTCTGCCATCTTTTTGCCATCAATCTTTGGCAGAAATTGTGCATAGTCTATCCCCTGCTGCTCATAGAAAAGAATGTAGGCAGAGTCGGTGTCAATTTCATCAGGGTGAAGTTCCTGAAGGGACAAGAAATACCTTTAATAAAAAAGCCATCACTCTGCTGGCTCTTAATCCGTGCCACGAAAGGGAGGACCAACCCTCTTCAATTACTAAACCTGTTTGCTTCCAATTAGCTTAATATTTTGGCTGTCTCATACCTGCCCCCCAAAATAAGCCCCATTATTTTCAGTGTTTGTTTTAGGAGAAATATTCTGACACATTTAAAAGAATGACCCCAAAACCCCCATCAAATTCTAATAGCTCAAAAGATAAGAAGTTTTTCTCATTAACCAATACTTTCCCCTTACTACTCATATTTTCATTCTCTCCTCTCCATTTCAGTTTTGTTCCTTTAATACTAAAGGCATCTACATACTGCTTCTAACAAAAATATCTACTCCTACATAGGAGAAAGTCCATTATTTCAAAAAATACCCCCTAGAATTGTTGACATTTCTGTTTCTTTTATTCAAAGATTGGGGATATCTACCTTACAGCTGCTGTCATTGTAACAGTACCACTTGCTGTTTGGGTTTTTGGCATAAGTGACGTAATGGCCCCCGCCCAGAATTCCTGAATGGCACTGTAAGAGAGAAGAAAGTGAAGGTATGTTAGTTAACAGTACTCTGGCCAGCAGACACAATTAGGATCTGATCAGGAAAACACTAATCACTTACTTAGGTGATTAAGAACGAAAAATTTGGAATCAGTTAACCCTCCCCCCCCCCCCAAAAAAAACTAACTAAATTCAAAGCTCCAAATCTAAATATTTTGTAGTTGTAATAATTTTTTAGAAAGCAAAAATTCCTTAGGAACACACAAGGGTGAATAACTTGAACGTGTGAGTCCAGCTATAATGATTATGCGACTATCCCCCACATTACTCTGTGAGCGCCTTGGATTTTATCCAGAAGGCCAAGATACCTACTGCTAATTTTGTCTATCACCAAGCCCAATGCCTAGGAAATAAGCAAGCCTTAAAAAATAATGAATGAACAAAGATGAACAAACAGTCCTCTAAAAAATGCAGATCATTCTGAAAACCATACAACCACTTACCGAAATTGCATACAGATTATAAATAGGCTTAACATGAATATCTTCTCTTTGGTCATCGGTGCTGTCTTCTTCACTGTGGTTTTCAAGCTGACCATTGCTGTAGCCATTGCCATTGCCACATGCCTCATGTTCATAAAGAAATCCATTGGCCAAAGCTACTTCGTGGTCCTGAGGGGTGACCAGCTCAGGTTGGCTACCCCCTAGCACGTGCCCTCGGCTCAAGGCATCAGCAAGCTCACAAATTTGCCCTGCCCCATTCTCTTTGCTGGCATCTAAGTTCTCTTTACTACTCGACAGTTTATTTTTGCTGCCGATCTGGGGTAGCCGGAGCCTCCCTTTGCTCCTCCCTAAAGTCCGAGGGCTGCTGTTAGGGCTGCTGTTTTTGCTGGAGGGACAGCTGGCTCCATTTTTTCTTGATGAGGAAGGTGAACCTGTCAAAGGGAGAAGGAAAGAATCATAAAATCTAAATGCCACATGTTAAACCAGCCACCAAATGTTAACTTTGAAGCCACCTTCACAAGTGCCCAAATAAAGGTAAAGGACAGTGAGTCCTGACTGGCTACTTTTCATTTCCTATTATGTAGTCAGTAAGTTACAGTCTTGTCTTCCTCAATGCCAAGCCCTAAAAATGCAGCAATGTCCTGAAAATGTAAATTACCATGTAGGAACTTAGCAAATTGTAGAAAGGTGATTTAGGTCAGATTCAGTTTAAAACAATATGGCCCTAAGGAGTTTTACAAATATATTTTCTTCTGCTTTGTAAAATCAGATAAAATATATACAATCGCTAATTATTAAGCACTTACTATCGCTCTGCATGGTATTGGAAACTTATCTCTACCTCTCATAACAATCCTATAAGGTAGTGGGTCTTCCATTTTTTTGGTCACAGCCCCGCCCACTTCTTTGTATACCCTTAAGAGTTGTTGGTGACCTCTACAACTTTTGTTTTATGGGTTATATCTATTAATATTTACCATATTAGAAATCAAAACTGAGAAATCTAAAAAAATACAATATACAAGGACATATTTCACTGACGATATCATCACATCATGTTGGCTCTGATTTCACTGTACACTTGTGAGAGAATAAGAGTGAAAAGGTAAATGCTGTCTTAGTATTTTCTTTTTTTCAGATAGAGCAGGAGGGAGAGAGGGAAGAAAAGAGAGAGAGAAACATCAATGTGAGAGAGACACATCGAGTGGCTGCCACCCACACGACCCCAACAAGGACCGAGGACAAACTGCAATCGAGGTACATGCCCTTAGCGGGAATCGAACCCAGGACTCTCTGGTCCGCAGGCCAATGCTCTAACTGCTGAGCCAAACTAGCCAGGGCTGTCTTGGTATTTTTATGAAAATAGTTCTGATCTAGGTTCTCAGAAAGGGTCTCAGGGACCCTATAGGGGCTCCTGAACCATACTTTGAGAACCTCTGCCGTAAAGGAACAAGGATGACAACTACTGTTCATGTTTACTATATCAGGCACTATTTAAAGTGCTTCATTCCTGACATATGAAATCCTCACACTCTGTGAACTTAGTATTATCTCCATTTTACAAATAAAAAATAGATTTAGGGAGGCTGTATCTCCTGCTAAAAGTCAGATAGTTCGAATCCAGACAGGTCTGATTCTAGATAAGTTTGTTCTGTCTCATTTGGCTGTTGCTCTAGAGTGGAAGAAAGAGGCAAACATGCAGTCTACAGGGGTTCCAGGAAAGCTCCCCTCAGGGTGCTGTCTGGGCTTCAGAAGGTCCCCTAGGCTTCTTCACCTTTAGGGCTACAGATGATGTTGGCGCTGAGTGAGGATGGGCTCTTGCTCAGGAGCACATCCTCTTCCCCAGCTGAGTTCTGGGCATCCACTTTCTTCACCTCTCCTGCTGGAACCCTGGTCTCACAGAAGTCATCTCCCTGGGGTGTCAGTGGTTTCCGCTGGCAGAGAGCTGGGTCTCTTGGTACCAAAAAAGCACTAGGGTCAAAACTTTCACGAGGAAATTTAACAATTTTCTGTGATTTTATCCATCGACCATTTACAAATTGAAATCGTTTAAGGTGAATAATCTGGAGAGGAAAAGATAGAAAACATTTGAGTTAAAGGGTTCTGAAGATACAAAATTTACATTTAAAAAACCCACAAGTCTAATACATGTGAATGTTCAAGAATATATAACATAACATTTTTTCAAAAATAATATATTATGTAACTGTCATCAGTAGGGGGCCACTGCCCTTTAGCTATGTGGCTAACTAACATGGTAATCTCCCTAATTTCATAGCCTGTGTATATCCAAGATGCTCTTTCTATACTTCTTCAACATCCCTGGAGCCAATATTTGCATGTAATCCTCTGCTTTCTGGATCCATGATCCACACTGACCTCTCCCTCTCTCCAATATCATAGAAGATTCATTCACAAATATTCTCATAGGAGACTCTACTGAATGTTTTGAATAAAAATGGCTTTTTTATTTGTTTGTTTTTGTTAATCCTCACCACTGATTTTTTAGATAGAGTGAAGGGAAGGAGGAAGAGAGAGACAGAGATAGAAACATCAATGTGAGGCCAGCCGGTGTGGCTCACTGGGTGAGCGTCGACCCATGCACCAAGAGGTTGCCAGTTCGATTCCTGGTCAGGGCACATACCCAGGTTATGGGCCAGAACCTCAGTGGAGGGCATGCAGGACGCGGCCAATCAATGTTCTCTCTGATCGATGTTTCTATCTCCCTCTCCTTCTCCTTTCCTCTCTCCCAATACAGAAAAAAAAAAAAAAGAAATATCGATGTGAGAGAGACACATCAATTGGTTGCCTCCCATACAACCTCAACTGTGGCTGGGGATCAGACCTATATCCCAGGTATGTGCCCTTGACCAGGAATCGAACCTAAGACCCTTCGGTCCAAGGGCCGATGCTCTAACTGCTGAGTCAAACTGGCCAGGACTGGAGTTTTTTTTATAGATGAAACTTATCCAATCTCCAATAGGAGGTCTCTCCTTTCTTACCATATCCTTTGATGGCTACCAGGGAACCCTGAAGAGAATAAGAAATCTCCCTACTTTTCTGCTTCTCAACTTCTTTTTAAGCGCAATGAATTCCTCCAGTTTTACACAGTGTTACTATGCTCTCTAATGCAGGCACAGATATTTGGTGGCTACCTCTACCCTAGATGCTTAACAATTTACTGATGTTGTTTTTTAAAATATGATTTTATTGCTTTTTTTTTTAGAGATAGAGAGAGGGAGGGAGAAAGAGATAGAAACATCAATGTGACGCCTGGCCGGTGTGGCTCAGTGGTTGAGCATTGACCCATGAACCAAGAGGTCCCCAGTTTGATTCCCAGTCATGGCACAAGCCCAGGTTGTGGGTCCAATCCCCAGTGGGGGGCATGCAGGAGGTGGCCAATTAATGTTCTCTCTCATCGATGTTTCCATCTCTCTTCCCCTCTCCCTAAAATCAATAAAGAAAAAAAAACAATTGAAACATCAATGTGAGAGAGATATATTGATCGGCTACCTCCTGCATGCCCCCTACTGGGGATGGAGCCTGCAACCTGGGCATGTGTCCTGACCAGGAATCGAACCAGGACTTCTCAGTCCATAGGACGATGCTCAATCCACTGTATCTCAACAAAACATTTACTCATAATTTTTTATTTTTCTTTCTTTATTTTAATCTTCACCTGAGAATATGATTTTATTGATTTTTAGAGAGACAGGAAAGGGGGAGGGGAGAGAGAGAGACATCAATCAGTTGCCTTCCAAACATGCCTCAAACGAGGATCAAAACCGAAACCTAAGTATGTGCCCTGACTGAGACTTGAACCCACAACCTTTTGGTGTACAGGACTATGCTCAACCAACTGAGCCACCCAGCCAGGGCACTCACCATCACATACTTATTTTTTATCCTCACCTGAGGACATTTTTGCATTAATCTTCAGACAGAGCGGGAGGGAGAGAGAGAGGAAGAGAAACATCGAAGTGAGATAGACACATTGACTGGTTGCCACCCACAGGACCCCAACAGGGGCCAGGGCTGGAGCCAAATCGCAACCCAGGTACGTGCCCTTAGCGGAAACCGAACCCGGGACTCTCTGGTCCGTGGGCTGACACTCTAACTGCTCAGCCAAACTGGCCAGGGCATTCACCATTATTTTTAAAGACCTCAAAAACATAGTTTTTATAAATGCCTTTACTCTAAGATATGTTTTATGTGATGTCAAACTAGATATTTAAAGTCTATGCATTTAACTCTGTGTTAATTATAACTCAAGTAAAAACAAAACAAAACAAAAACAACAACTATCCCCCTTCCCACCTGTCTATCTCCAAGCCTGCTCTGTCCTTTTTTCCTTCCCTCAGTTCCCATCCCTGGAGGTAGCTAGCCAATGTTATGAATTACTTCCCTGGGAAGTTGTTCTGGATTAAGAAAAAAACAAAAAACCTACATTCACAGTCTTACAGAGTAGTAAATAAGGTATGAATAAAAAAATGCAGCCCTGCCCTGGCTGGTTTGGCTTAGAGTCGGCCCATGGACCAGAGAGTCTCGGGTTCAGTTCCTACTAAGGGCATGTACCTCGTTGCGGTTCATCCCGGGTCCTGGTTGGGGTTGTGGGGGTGGCAACCACTGGATGTGTCTCTCTCACATCAATGTTTCTCTCTCTCTCTCTTAAAAAAAAAAAAAAAAAAGTAAAATAAAAATGCAGCCCTGGACGGTTTGGCTTAGTGGTTAGAGCATCAGCCTGCGGTCCAGAGAGACCTGGGTTCGATTCCTGCTAAGGGCATGTACCTCGGTTGCAGTTTGTCCCGGCCCTGGTTGGGTCGTGCGGGTGGCAACCACTCGATGTGTCCCTTTCACATCGATGTTTCTCTCTCTCTCTCCCCCTCCCAGTCTATCTGAACAAGAAATGGAAAAAATGTCCTCAGGTGAGGATAAAAAATAAATAAATAAATAAATAAATAAATAAATAAATAAATAAGAAAAATGCAGCCCCAGCTGGTTTGGCTCAGTGGCTAGAGCATTGGCCTGCAAACCAATGAGTCGCGGGTTCAATTCTAGCCAGTGGCACACACCTCAGCTGTGATTCAGTCCCTGACCCTGGTTGGGTTGTGTGGGAAGTAACCAATTGATGTCACTCTCTCTCTCCCTCTCTCTCCCTCTAAAAAAATCAATGGAAAAAAATCTTTGGGTGAGGATCAACAACAAATGCATGTAAGATCTGGTTAAAATATACCACTGCCTTACAGTTACACTTGTTATGACACTTCCACCCTTAAGGAATAAGTTTTCTTAAATGAATAGGAAGATTTGTCTCTTCAAACTCACCTGACAAACAACAGGAGGGCCTTCTAATCCATGTAGGGAGAAGACAGAAATAAATCAAAATCAAAAGAACACACAAGCCCCATTGCAGCTGTGTGCTTGTGCACACACACTTAACACAACAGTGTGCTGCGGTCATATGACCAAGCACAATGGAATCGGAGGCTCCAGGCCCAACTGCTCCTCTTTAGTCCACTAAGGATGAGCCTAAAGCTTCCTCTCTCCCTAGAGCCAGAGTGCTTTCATTTTCCTCTGAAGTTCAAATTCACCAGGTTGTATCACTTGTGACCCTTCTTACATACTGTATTGAATGGCAGTTACTGGTCTATATGACTTTTCTCTCCTTTTAGGCTGCTGCTCTTTAGGAGCAGGAACTAGCAAATATCTGTAGAACAATAAATCTCTGTGTGCAACATAAAAACCTTGCATAGCAAAAGTGTTTTAAGCACTGCTGTGGGGAGGATTTTATTCTCAAAAATAACAAAAACTATTTGTTCATGGCTTCTTTCCTTTTTGCCAGACTCCTGCTCTCTCAGGGGTAGGACTGTAACTAACCAGGATGGGAGGAAGCCTCCAGAGATCCAGCTTCTTGGTTGCCAAGCAGTGGGTCTTACACTTGGAGCAGTAGTACATCTCATTTTCCCCTAGCTCCTCCTCACTGGTGAAAGCACGGAGACAGCTGTCCAAGTTGATGGGCTCAGCTTGTGCTCGTCGACTCTGTTCCACACTCTCATGCTCATCCACAACCTGTAAGTGGAGGAAATAGGAATAATGGGGGTAGAGGGTGAGTAGGGCAGTGGGGCAGGGAAGGAGTATAAAATAGTCACCTGGCTATGCATCATCCTCTAGGTGATTCACACTCATTTTATTCTACATGAAGAAAAAGAAAACACAACCCAAACTAAAAGTCTTTGGGCAAATACAGTATCTGTACTTTTATTCACAAACATCACATCAGTAACATCTGGGATCAAATGTCTATTTATATGACTATAGATCTTTTTGAATGGTTCAAAATAATAGAAACAAAAACAAACAAGGAACTGCCTATTTATTTTAAAATTTTGAAATCCTAAAACAGATTACATTTGAGCTGGCCTTCAAGCCAGGAGTATTCAGATTAGGTCTTTTATTTTTTATTTATTTATTAAAAAAATTTATTTTTTCTTTATTGATTTTAGAGAGAAAGGAAGGGAGATGAAGAGAGAAATAGTAACATTGGTGAGAGAGAACATCGATTGGCCGCCTCCTACATGCCCCCACTGGGTATTGGGCCCACAACCTGGGCATGTGCCCTGACCGGGAATCGAACTGGTGACCTCTTGGTACATGGGTTGAAGCTCAACCACTGAGCCACACCAGCCAGGCTGGCCTTTAATTTTTAACTACAAAGATACAACATTCTTAGTATGTTGCAGGCTTTACAGAAGTTAGAAGAAATAATATCACTGGAACACAGATGCCAGATATGAATTAAATAAGAAAGGTCCAGAAAAGCTCACCATGAGAATGTAACACATCAGAGCATTAAACCCCACAGGATACAACTCATTTGCACATTGATTCCATATAACACAGTTATCAGAATACCATGTATATCGTTATCTATCTCCTGCCTCACAAAGCCACAATAAAAGAATGGTAGGCTCAAGAGAGCCAGATTTTGTTGAGAAGGCTCCTAATACCTGCCAAACCTCTGTAGTCCTGTTAATCCACATACTAGGATTTGGAGCAAGAAAATGGTAAGTATAAAAAAGGAGAGACAGCATGGCCGGTGTGGCTCCGTGGTTGAGCATTGACCCATGCACCAAGAGGTAGCCAGTTCGATTCCCGGTCAGGGCACATGCCCAGGTTATGGGCCTGATTCCCAGTGGGGGCATGCAGGAGGCAGCCAATCGATGTTCTCTCTCATTGATGTTTCTATCTCTTTCTCCCTTTCCCTTCCTTTCTCTCTAAAATCAATAAAGAAAGGAGAGATAGCAAAAGGGGATAAGTGTGTAAGGATATGTGTTGGAGGTGGTGTGGTATCAGGAGGATGGAGAGAAGTAGGGACTTAGAATGCAATAGAAAAGGAAGAATTTTCCCTCTCCAATACTTGGCTATCACTTAATAAGCAATCAAGAACCACAGTAGGTGAGGCACAGTTGAGTACTACAAATACTACCATGACACTTCACACAGAGATCCTTTTTATCCCAGGGTGGAGTCTGGAATACATCCAACAATGGATGCCTCTCATTCAGGCAAAGGTCACACATATGTCCATCACTCCAGTTATTCTGCCTCCCTTCCAAAGGTGAATTGGCTCTCTGCCTCAGACAATTTCCCTCATGTTTCCCTTGCTTAACTCACAAAGGGATCAATGGGCTCCCTAAATTACAAATTAGCACATCTCAGCACATGCAGTTCAGGACAGGTTTTCAGGGGTGGCTTTTACCCTTCATGAGAAGATGGCTGAATTATAGCAGCTAAGTACTTCTACAACCTATCAAGGCTGAGGTTGATGATGCAATTAAGGGTTTTAACATTGTATCATCATCCATTTAAAAAGGGGAACCTGAGAAAAAGCCTTTCTCTCAGAAAAGGAAATATGGCTTGACCTTGGGTCACTGATTTCTTTTTTGATACTAATAACTCTCATCATCTTTAGAGCTGGTCACCCAAGGGAAAAGCTGACATTCTTTAAAAACAAACCAACCCCCCCAAAATGAACAAACAAAACTCCCCCATACTGCATTGTGGCTGTTGGAATCAGAGTAGAAAAATGGGTATATTAAATACAGTAGTGTCTCTTTTCTCATAACCAGTTAAACATTATCTCTATTACCTCTATCTAGGAAACTTTATGGCCAACCACAAATAACAGTAAGTTAGTAAAGAATGTTGATTTTTATTGACTGTATTGTCTATGGAACACACAGGCTATAGAGTTAGATTGAGACAGGTGAGAAGGAAGACTGATGTTTGTGCACTGACAATAATTTTTATTTACTTTCCTAAGTGACAGAGATTCCCTTTATCTCTTGGGATCCACTGCCAGATGCTCTACTATTTTTCAAACAGTCTAAATTACTACTGGCACCCTCTTCCTTTTTTTTTTTTAAGTTCTTGAAAGCTTATCCATTTTTTATTCTCACCTGAGGACATTTCTGCATTTTTATCTTCAGATAGGGCAGGAGGGAGAAAGGGAGGAAGAGAGAGAGAGAAACATCGATGTGAGAGAGACACATCGAGTGGTTGCCACCCACACAACCCCAACCAGGGCCAGGGTCAAACTGCAACTGAGGCACGTGCCCTTAGCGGAAACCGGACTCGGGACTCTACTGTCCGTGGGCCGTCACTCTAACTGCTGAGCAAAATTGGCCAGGTCGAAAGCTCATCCTTAACACAAAACATAAGAAATAAAGTAACAGCTTTCATACATTATAAGACTACAGTCAGCGCTCGTTTATTGCGGTTAATCAGTTCCAGACTCTACCGTGATAAGTGAATTTCCATGAAGTAGGGTTCTTTATTTATACTACAGTCGTCCTTTGCCACATCGCATTTTGACTTTTGCGGCTTCCCATGATAGAGTGAAGCAGCGAAAGTCGAAGTGCAAAGTGGCGAGGGACAACTGTATTAGATAAAATTACCTGGTTTAATTTTCTATTGAGGAATGTGAAGTCCAAGCAAGACGAAAATAAAAAAATAACAGCAATTGCCTCTCTCTATTTTTTTTTTTCCTGCTTAAGAAATAAAACATTCACATAGAAACTTTGGAAAGCAGAGAAAAATGTAAAAAGGCAGGGAAACTTTTATATTCTTAATACAAAGGCAAACACTGTCAAAATATTGGCAGATTTTCTTTTCCTAAATAGTATTTTTTTTAAAAAATTGAAGAGATTTTTCAGTATATGCAACTTTCTACCTTGCTTTAAAAAACAACAACATGATACCATAAGTATCTTCCTATATATGTCAGCAAAAACTAATTCTGGTTATCACCATTTTATCCAATTATTACACCATGCTTTATTTAATCATTCCTCTAACATGGGACAAAGTTGTTTCTAATTTTTTATTATTCTAAAAAATGCAATGATGAATTTGTCGGAACATTACAGAGTATTTTCCTAGGATAAATTTCTGGAAGGGAAATCACTGAAATAAAAAGTATAAAACATATGACGCCCTGGCCAGGTAGCTCAGTTTTTTAAAGCATTGTCCCAATAACACCAAGATTACAGTTTGATGTCCAGTAAGGGCACAAACAAGAATCAACCAATGAGTGCATAAATAAATTGAACAACAAATCAATGTTTTTTTCCCTCTCGCTCGCTCTCCCCCTCTTCCTCTCTCTTTCTCAAATTAATCAATGAATAGAAATTTTAAAAATAAATATATAAAAAGTATAAAACATGAGGGCAATAATCTCAAAATTTTTTTTTTTATATCCTCACCTGAAGACATTTCTCCATTTTCTGTTCAGATAGAGTGGGAGGGAGAGAGAGGAAGAGAGAGAGAGAGAGAAACATAGACGTAAAAGGGACACATCGAGTGGCTGCCACCCACACGACCAACCAGGGCCGGTGACAAACTGCAACTGAGGTACATGCCCTTAGCGGGAACCAAACCTGGGCCTCTCTGGACCGCAGGCCGATGCTCTAACCTCTGAGCCAAACTGGTAGGGCAATAATCTAGATTTTAAACTGAAGTATCTTCCTTTGTCTACGTGACTTTCCAAGCACTTGTAGAAACCACATGAAGGAAGATATATTACGTAGTGAAAAATGAGTCATGGGGCTCCACTCTCCAGCAAGGCAAAACATCTCAATTGTAACTTGGTTTCTTTCCATGGTATCCTAAGAGCATCATTGAAAATGAAAACAGCGTGAGATTGAACAGGTCATGCAGGCTCTTCTTCCTATAAGCAGGATGTCCTCCAGAGCTTTTCAGATCGACACTGGGCTTATTAAAAAAGGAAGAGATTTATAGAGCCAAGTAATTTTTCATCTTTGACAGGAGTATCTTGTCCCAATAATGTCCTATCAGATTTTGTGCTGACAAAGATTCAGGAATCTTTATCAGTTGCCAAAATTTTCCCTCTTCAAATGAAGCATGACTGAAGTTAAATGTTGCTACAGTGAGCATGATCTACTAGAACAGTGGTTCTCAACCTTCCTTATGCCACGGCCCTTTAATACAGTTCCTCAAGTTGTATGTGGGCGTATCTGCATGTGGGCGGACCTGCCTGGAGACGGGTAGAGGAGCGGTGTCTCAGTTCCTAAGACCATTGGAAATACGTGTTTTCTGATGGTCTTAGGTGAGCCCTATGAAAGGGTCATTTGACCCCCAAAGGGGCCGTGACCCACAGGTTGAGAACCACTGAACTAGATCAACTTCTTTTAGGCTAGCTTCCTTTAGCCCAGTGATCTTTCATATGGCACGTTTCTACAAATCACACTCCTTCTTGGCTAGTGAGAGTTGCCAGCAGCCTCAGGGTGTGTGTGGGCACGTTGAGGGATCCAAACAGGGAACTAGGTCTGGAATTGGTAGTGTCCCCACTCCTCAATAGCACAAAAAGACAGAAAAGTCAATTATCATTACTAACCTATCTAAAGGGAACATAAATCCAAAAGCAATACAATTCTTCATGTGACTAAGAAACTTCTCTGATTCTATTAATTTTTTTCCTCTCCATCAGCTTCTTCTTATCTCTACCCACAAGCTACCTAGTCAACCGATCCTTTAAACAGCATTTTGCAAACATTTTTAGGTATGGAGTTAATTTTTTTTTTTTTAATTTTTATTTATTAAAGTATTCTTTTGTGAATTAACATTTTCAAAATTTAAAAATTACTCTGGCCAGAGAGTGGCAGTAGAGGAATGCCAAGGGTGAACAGCCACTGAGATGTACTCTTAGTTGCCCAGTTCTGAAATATTCAATCCTTTCTCTAATTTTTCTACTAACTATTCCCATTAAAAGTAGCAGCCATAGCCCTGGAATGCATGTGAACTAAGTAACTGTGGTTACCAAATGCTGCAGTTTCAATAATAATTAATAAACAGGCAGTGAGATATTTACTGATTGGTATGTCATGGCCAGAGAATATAACTTCTTAATTACACCTAGAGTTTTGTTACAAGATTTACTTATTAGTAGTATTTTTGAACTTTAAAGTCCCAATACAGTGTTGGCCAGTGCTGCTCAGTTGATTGGAGCATTGCTGAATACATCAAAAAGTGGTGGGTTCGATTTCCATTCAGGGCACATACCCAGGTTGAGGGTTTGATCCCTGCTTGGGGTGTGTGTGGGAGGCAACTGATTGATGTTTCTCTTACATTGATGTTTCTCTCTCTCTCCCTTCCTCTCTCTGAAATCAATAAAGAAAAGAAAAAAATTTTTCTTAAAAATATGTTTTAGTGATGTGTCAAGAGAGAGAGGAAGGGAAAGAGACAGAAACACAGATGTGAGAGAGAGACATGGATTGGCTGCCTCCTACACTCCTCCTACTGGGGATCAAACCTACAACCTAGGCATGTACCCTTACTGTGAATTAAACCCAGACCTCTCAGTCCATGGGATGACATTCAATCCACTGAGCCATACCAGGCAGGCGAAAACAATTTTTAAATAAAGCCCCAATACAATTATCTCTAGAAGTAGGAAAATGAAAACATCTATGTAATCAAATCAATATATGAAGTGTCACAGAGAGAGCCAATTAATGTTTTTCTGGTTGTACTAAATTGTCTACAAAACAAATGTCATAATATAGTTAAACCTGGAAAATTTTTATATATAAAAACCACCATCTTACACTGGCCTTGGGTTCTTACCCTTTCCTGTGATGTTTGATAGCGGAGGTGAAGGGCTGTGGGGTCCCAATCTACAGCAATATAGGCATTTCCAATGAAAGCTCTGTCTTCCCCACAGTCAATTTTACAGCCTCTGCAAAATCTAAAGGGGAAAAAAGATATATTGAGAAAGGAATAATTATAAAGAAATCAATTTTCTTTATCAGAAATATTCTCCCTTTCTACTTCTCTACATTCCTTCTTGGACTTCACAATTTGTCATGGGCATCTTACTTCAGACTGATAAATGCATGAATATGTATTAATAATTATTAATATTTCAGGGAATCATGCTTAGTACTTCTTGAGTCTTTGGTTTTTCAAAGCACTTGATAACCTTTTGCTATTCAATAAATATATGAACTTTGTGGCAAAAAAATAATATGGGAATTGGATACATGAGATAAAACGCCTCTAAAGACATTCTAAATTCAGTTATTTAATGCTCTAAGGATAATTTATCTGGTATAACAATGCCCATTTCCTTGTTTGTAAAATGGGACATTAAATAAATATATATAAAAATTTATGGGGGTTGAGGGGGACCATGACAAAGCCATGGTTCTAATATCTATTTTAAACTCAGTTTGCTAAGTCTGTTACAGTTTTCTAAAGGCTGACTTCAGTACTCAAGCATTTTCCAACCTGAAATAATACTGACCAATCACTCTTCATAATTCTTCTAAAAATCAAAACAGACTTCCAGCAAGGTCTAGTAAACAGACTACATTCTAATGGGCTCAGAATTGTTAAATTAATTTATAATTAAGGAGCAGAAGGCATAGAATAAATGTTGATCATAAATTATGAATTTGATGAGACTGTAGACTTTACAAAACCAGATACGTCTCAAGAATAAAACTTATACAGACCTCACAAGGAAGAGATGAATCAACAATTCCCAAGTTTATTCAACTTGAAAATCTTATGAAAGAGGTATACTATCTGGAGCTACAATTCTACTAAAATTTTTCTTTTGTAGAAGGTCACTTTACCTGTACCATGGGCACCAAGCACAGGAGTTCCCATCTTTCTGCACAACTCGTAGAGTGAATGGATATTGATAGCCCATACTGTCATCACTGAAACAGAACATAAACCAAAGAGTATAAGAAACATTTCTGATTTGAGTTCTCAGCTCCTTTTCATCTTCCTGTGAAGTAACCCTAGGAAGGGGCATCTGTCCTAGCAGTATGCTCACACTTAGAGCTCTATGCTGCTTATCCTAACCCATTAGCTGTGCCATGTACCAACTACTCTAGGCACCCATGCTGTATTCCTGCTTACAGAAGTGTAGACATACTAGACTGCCAGATGTCTCTCAGAGTGTCCATGTGGAAGGATAAGCTAATCAAACACCAATTATCCTTCAGCCCTAATTCTTTCAGCAGATTTAATTCACGTTCAACTAAAATAATTAGACCTTTCCATGACAAGAACATTGACATGCCACAGAAGGCTGAAAGGTCATAATGGTTTTTAGAGAAGCTGACTAACTATATATATATAGAAGCTTTCTTTAATCAGAACCCCTGATGTGGTACGTGCTAGGTATCCCTTTTCCCTTGCCTAAACTATTCAAAGCTATAAGCTACACAACATTAATTTTAGAGAAATGTCTTTTAATTGCAAGATAGCCTTGTGAGCTCTCCAACTTTTAAAACAATTTATTCATCCTTGACCCAATAGGAAGCAATGCAAGGAATATAACATAAAAGCAGTATACTTGCCCTGGCCAGTTTAGTTCAGTGGTTGGAGCGTCAGCCTGTGGACCAGAGAGTCCCAGGTTCGGTTCCCGCTAGGGGCATGTACCAAGAAAAATTAAAAAAATAAAAGCAGTATACTTTACGGCTCAGTTGGCCATTGGTAGTGGCTACTACATAGCTGCTGAAGGTAATGAAGCCATGATATGGACTCACTCACTGTAAGGGCAAAAGGATCACATCTGTTATAAGAGTTGCCATCTTTCTGCATAACTCGTCAAGTGAATGATTATTGACAGCCCATGCTGTCCAGTATTATGTCCAAATTAGGTCAATGATAAGAGGAATTAAAAGAAAGATAAAGGGACGAAATGACCAGATAGCACTCTAGCACAGAACTACGCGGCACCTGTCTTCTGAACATTTTCTTCACCTTTTTGCTCTAACTGAAGCTTGGCTTTCCTGAGGAATCTGATTCCTCTACAGCCTAATAAGTGCTGTTTCTTCTCATACATCCCAGAACCTGTGAGATGGGTCTCCTCCTCACTCCTCTTTACCACTTCTAAATTAATTCCTCCTTCCTTCTCTTTCTAAAAATTCTGGTTTCTCTGTATCACATGCTATTATATTATATCACATGATATGCCTCCTTGGTAGGTGCATCTCTTCATTTACTAAGGATTTTAGAACCTGGCTCACTGTTTTTCTCTTTATTACTTCTGTTATTATTCTTGGTGACCTCAACATCAATGTAACTTATCCAACAACACTTAGGCCTTCTCTCTTTCAACAATAATTTCCTCCATCATATATGATCTACCCCCTCCAATAGTCATATTTTAGACCTTGTTATTTGGTAGTGGCTATTACATGACTGCTGAAGGTAATGAACATGATAAGGACTTTAACCACCTCTAAATATCTCAATTCTAAATACCCTACACTTCACCCAAATAATTCCTATCTTTTCGGATTAACTACTTATTTAAATATCACTACTCTAACAATTCTTTGACTCAATAGAACCTCCGATCACTGCCCTCAAAGCCTCACTTTCTTCCTTACTCACTGTCCTTCAGAATAATCATCTTTTTTTTTTTTATCCTCACCCAAGGACTTTTTTTCCATTTTTGTTCAGACAGAGTGGAAGGGAGGGAGAGAGAGAAATATCGATGTGAAAGGGATATATCGAGTGGCTGCCTCCAGCACAACCCCAACCAGGGCCAGGGATCGAACCCGCGACTCATTGGTCCGTGAGCTGACGCTCTAACCATTGAGCCAAACCGGCCAGGGCCAGAAAAACCATCTTTTATATGGATCCTCAATTCCAGAAATTTATCCAGTTAATCTAATTTCAAATTTACTGATATAAACACAAATGTAGAGAATTGTACAATGAATACCCATGTATATTCATCACTTAATTATAAAAATCGTAAACTCCTGGCCACTCTTAATTTACTATACCTATACTTAGTCCCACTAGATTATTGTACTCCATTTTTGTGGTAAAATATATATAAAATTTACCATGTAACCATTTAAAATGTACAGTTCAGTGGCATTAAGGTATACAATCATCACCACCATCCATCTCCAGAATTTTTTCACCTTCCCAAATAGCAACTCTTACCCATTAAGCAATAATACCCCCCACCCCCATCCCTGGTAACCTGCAATTAACTTTCTGTCTATGAATTTGCCTATTCAAGATACCTCATAAAAGTGGAATCATACAATATTTGTCCTTTTGTGTCTGGCGTATTTCACTAAGCATAATGTTTTCAAGGTTCATCCATGTTAAGTATGTATCAGAAATTCATTCCTTTTTGTGACTGAACAGTGCTTCACTATATATATACACATTTTGTTTATCTATTCATCTACTGATGAACACTTGGGTTGTTTCCACTTTTTGGCTCTTATGACCCACTAAATTTTTTTGAAGGAAACCAGAGGCATTTTATCATTTTCATCCATAAATATTTCAGTGTGTTATCTCTAAAAGATAAGCTTATTATCTTTTTAATGTCTGTACAAACATTTTCTCTTTAACCAACTTTCACCTTCATGCCTTCATCTATACCACTCCACTAAAAGAAGCTTTTGCAAAGGTCACCAAAGACCGCCATTTTATCAAACCCAGTGGTTAATTCCCAGGCCTCCTCTTACTCAATCCCTCTGTAGCATTTGAAACGGATCAGCTGTTTCCCCAGACACTTCCTTCATTTAACTTCTGGGACACTACTCACTCCTGGTTTTCTTCTTACATCACTGGCTGCTCCTTCTCAATCTCCTTTGTTGTGCCTTGTCCTCCTCTTTCCAACCTCTAAATGTTGAAATGCATCAGGAGTTAGATCTTGGGCATCTTCCCTAACTTTTATTGTCTAAATCAGCAGTTTTCAACCTGTGGGTCGTGACCCCTTTGGGGGTCTAACAACCCTTTCACAGGGGTTGCCTGAGACCATCAGAAAACACGTATTTCTTTTTTTTTTTTTATCCTCACCCGAGGACATTTTCCCATTTTTTTGTTCAGGTAGAGTGGGAGGGAGAGAGAGGAACAGAGAGAGAGAGAGAGAGAAACATCGATGTGAAAGGAACACATCGAGTGGCTGCCACCCGCACGACCGACCAGGGCCGGGGACAAACTGCAACCGAGGTACACGCCCTTATCGGGAATCGAACCCGGGTCTCTCAGGACCGCAGGTCGACGCTCTAACCGCGGAGCCAAACCGGGCAGGGCAGAAAACACGTATTTCTGATGGCGAGTCATAACAGTAGCAAAATTACAGTTATGAAGTAGCAACGAAAATAATTTTATGGTTGGGGGTCACCACAACATGAGGAACTGTATTAAAGGGTCGTGGCATTAGGAAGGTTGAGAACCACTGAAATGGTATCATCTGGTCTCAGTGTTTTAAATATCGACTATTTGTTGATGTCACCTATCCTTATATGTCCAGCAAAGAACACTTAAGTCTATTTTCCACTCAAAAATATAACACACATCTTGAATTTAATTTGATTCCTTTCATGCTTTTTCAAAATCTGCTTCTTCTCCAGTCTTCCTTATTTTAAAATATGATTTTTTTTAAAATCCTCATCCAAAGATATTTTTCCATTTATCTTCAGATATAGAGGGGGGCGGGGGAGAGAAACATCAGTGTGAGAGAGACACATTGATTGGTTGCCTCCCACATGACCCGGATCAGGATCAGGGAACAAACTGCAACCAAAGTACGTGCCTTTGACTGGAACTGAACCCAAGACTCTTTGGTCCTCAGGCTGATGCTCTAACTGCTGAGGCAAACCAGCCAGGGCTAGTCTTCCTTATTTTATTAAATGGTACCACCATTCACAAACAATTGTTCTGAATTAAAACAGCTTGGACTCCTCTTTTCCTCATATTCCATATCCAATTCACTAGCAAGCCCTGAAAAAGTCCTCAGTGTTCCAAAAATTTAATCTTGCCCTACTGTCATTTTTACTAAACACAACAGTCATCAACTAAATTGCTTATCTATTATTTGAAGTTTTCCTTTAAGACTGATTTACCGTAAGCCATATTTAATCATCAAAATACCCCATATCAAGTAACCTATTAACTAAAAAAACTTCTTTACTCTGTTCACACAGAAGCAGAACTCTCACTTGCACCATGATAACAAAATAATAATCTGGAATTCAACTGAGATATAAATAGGGCATCACAATCCCAATGATTGTTAGAAGTAAATACATTTAGTAATCCAGTAGAACAGTGGTAGGAAGAATGGAAGGAAAATAGAAGATGTTTATTCTTTAACTAGACTTATAAAATTATTCCATATTAAAATGACATGGTATGGAAACAATCCAACTGAATTATCTGTTACCATAAAACATTTTCAGAGTTCATGTATAGATATGCACACTACTGCTCCCATTCCGGATTTCAGAGGATGAAATTCATACTCTCTATTTTTGCAGTAACAGAAGTCAAGAATATTCCCTGAAGCATTTAAAGCAGCAGGAGGGATTAGTGAATAAAAGTATTATTAGACACTAAAATGTCTAGGTGATGAAAGGAAGCTGTATAGTCTCTCCTACTCAAAAGATCAAACCAAATGGTTGAATTTATATGCTCCCTGGATGGTTCTTCAAAGAGTGATTAAACTAGCCTGGCTGGTGTGGCTCAGGGATTATGGTTCGTCCCATGGACTGAGATGTCCCGGTTCGATTCCCAGTTAGGGCACATGCCTGGGTTGCAGGCTCAATCCCCAGTAGGGGGTGTGCAGGAGGCAGCTGATCTGTTTCTCTCTTACATTGATGTTTTTTATCTATCTCTCTCCCTTCTTTCTAAAAAAAATCAATAAAAACATATTTTTTAAAAAGTAAAATATGGAATTTCTTTATTTAAAAAAATGTGATTAAACTTACATAAAATGGTTTGGCTCAGTGGTTAGAGCGTTAGCCTGCAGTCCAGAGAGACCTGGGTTCAGTTCCCACTAAGGGCATGTACCTCGGTTGCAGTTTGTCCCTGGTCCTGGTTGGGTCGTGTGGGTGGCAACCACTCGATGTGTCCCTTTCACATTGATGCTTCTCTCTCTCTCTCTCTCTTCCTCCCACTATCTGAACAAAATATCAAAAAAAAAAAAAAAAATGTCCTCGGGTGAGGATAAAAAAAACCACATAAAATGGGTCCTATAAATCACAAAGAATTCATATAAAGTCTTCTGGAGTTTGGAACTGCAGGTCTAGGCTGATCCCCTGAACTCACCAATCCTGAGCATGGTTACTAGCTTCCTGAGGTGGGAGTGGGCTGGCTAATCGAGATACTTGAATCCAAACTGCATCATACAGGTCTTTCTTCCTGGTATGCACAGTACACGGAACAATCAATGGCATTCCAAAGAGGCTGGGTCGATTCTTCTGAGATGACAGGAAATACAGTTCTGTTCTCATCTGTATGTACAAACAAGAGAGGAGAGAATTGAGAAGATAGGCCTCTGATTCTTCCTTTTTGTTCTTCTATCACTGCTAATAACATGTATCACTGCCATTTAAAAAAATATGTGTTTTATTCAATTTTTTAGAGAGAGAGGAAGGAAGAGAGAGCTAGAACCATCTATGTGAGAGAAACATTGATGGGCTGCCTCCTGCACCCCCCCTACTGGGGACTAAGCCTGCAACCTTGGTATGTGCCGACTGGGAATCGAAGCGGGACATCTCAGTCCATGGGACGACGCTCAATCCACTGAGCAACACTGGCTGAGCTCACTACCATTTTCAAATTAGTCACTACCACTCTTTTTTTTTTTTAATCCTCACCTGAGGATATTTTCCTATTTATCTTGATAAAGTGGTAGAAAGAGAGAGGGAGAGAAAGGGAGAGAAAGAGAAATATCGATGTGAGAGGGACACATCTACTGGTTGCCTCTCACAGGACCCCAACCAGGGCCAAGGACGAACTGCAACCAAGGTACGTGTGCCCTTGACCGGAATCGAACCCATGACTCATTGGTCTATGGGCCAACACTCTACCACTGAGCCAAACTAGCCAGGGCCACTCTTTTTTAAATTATTATTATTTTTATTTTTTATCCTCACCTAAGGACATTTTTCCATTTATCTTCAGATGGAGTGGGAGGGAGGGGGAGAGGGAGAGAGAGAGAAAGAAAGAGAGAGAGAAAGACAGAGAGAGAAAGAGATAGAAACATTGACAGGAGAGACATATTGACTGGCTGCCTCCCGCAGGACCCCGACCAGGACCAGGAACGAACCACATCTGAGCTATGTGTCCTTGACCAGAATTGAACCTTAGGCCATTGGTCCTTAGGTCAATACTCTAATCACTGAGCCAAGAGGGCTCTACCACTTTCTCTTTAAAAAATTTTTTTTTCTTTATTGATTTGAAAGAGAGAGGAAGGGAGAGGCAGAGAGAGATAGAAACATCCATGAGAGAGAACATCGACTGGCCGCCTCCTGCATGCCCCCCATTGGGGATCAGGCCCACAACCTGGGGATGTGCCCTGACAGGGAATCGAACCGGCAACCTCTTGGTGCGATGCTCAACCACTGAGCCACACCGGCCTGGCGGGGCTCTACCACTATTAATATGAAGAGAATTGCTACACTGGAAGGTTGAGGTACTGCCAATTTTGGAGTGGCTGTCTATCAAACTTGGATATTCAGCATTGAATACTTGCAAACCAGTTTTCTATGATAAACATTTCACACCCACACTGAATTATATGTAAAAACTAGTAATAGTTTTGTAGCTCAAGGCTTTTAAGCAATTAAAACCCTTTCTCTAGAAAATATTCCCATGCACTGGCAGGTTTGGCTCAGCAATTAGAGTGTTGGTCGGCGGACCAGAGAATCCCGGGTTCGGTTCCCGCTAAGGGTACGTACCTCGGTTGTAGTTTGTCCCCGGCTGTGGTTGGGGTTGTATGGGTGGCAACCACTTGGTGTGTCTCTCTCACATCAATGTTTCTCTCTCTCTCTCTCCCTCTTTCTCTCCCTCCTGCTCTATCTGAAGATAAATGCAAAAAGTGTCCTCGGGTGAGGATAAAAAAAAAGAAAATATTCCCATAAGCCAAAATTCCCTCAAAATGCAATTTTCAAAAAATTTGCTATTGATAAGTATTGTTATAGCAATCCCCAAACTTTTGGAGACTTACAAAACCAGTCATTAAATTTTGTAACAACTTATCCACCTTCCTAAAAGCAGCTGAGTGACTTCATAGTCTTCTTTATCATATTTTTATCCTCACCCAAGGACATTTTTCCATTTTTTGTTCAGATAGAGTGGGAGAGCGGGGGGGGGGGGGTATTGACATGAAAGGGATGCATCGAGTGGTTGCCACCCACACAACCCAACCAGGGCCAGGGACAAACTGCAACCGAGGTACGTGCCCTTAGCAAGAACCGAACCCAGGATTCTCGGGACCCCACAGGCCGACGCTCTAACCGCTGAGCCAAACCAGCCAGGGCAAACTTCTTTATTTTTTAATAAATTATAAATTAAAAGGTAAACTTTTTAAATATTTGATTCAAGTATGTTAAGATTTTTATGAAATTCCTTCATATAGAGATACTGCACAGAATTAGCCTGGAAATGGTTACTTAATAAAACAAAAATTTAGTATAATAGGTTGTTGGAAGTTCAGGATTATTCAAAAAAGCTGCTAAGTACTTGAATATTTAATTCTTTAAAATGGTTTTTATATAGTGGTTAGAGAAGCTAAATCAATAACCTATACACTCTCTAAGGGTTATCTAGTTTATAAGTGAGAAGACTCTTTTACTTCAGATTCTCAAGCATTTTATTTTGCCGTTATTCAATTAAGCTTAGCTAAATACATGATTTGAAGACCCCATTTCATGGGTCAGTATGATTATTATAGGACCCACAGAAATGTAGATGGGAGTTCACAACATTTTTAAAAAATCTACAAACTTAGATTAGTTGTTCTCTCGTCAAACTTCTACTTTTCTTCCACTCTAACCCTCAGCATATGACTTACTTTACTAAATAAGTTGTATTTTATTTATAGTTATTATTTAAGTTTTTACTAAATTTAAACAACCATCTTTTCCTCTACTCTTCTCAGTCTATCTCCTTCCTTCCCTCTAACCCTAGACCCCTTACTCCTTCCCTTCCTTTCTCTCTTTTTAAAAATATATTTTTATTGATTTTAGAGAGAGAGAAAGGGAGAAGGAGAAAGAGACAGAAGTATTGATGAGAGAAAAAAAAACAATGAGCTGCCCCCTGCATACCCCTTATTGGGGATCGAGCCTGAAATTTGGCATGTGGCCTGACTGGGAATTAAACCGGTGACCTCTTGCTGTATGAGATAACGCTAAATCTACTACGCCACACCGGCAGGGTCCCTTCTCTCTCTTTTTTTTAAATAATTTTTTTCTTTATTGATTTTAGAGAGAGAGGAAGGGAGAGGGACAGAGAGAGAGAGAGAGAAACAATGATGAGCGAGAACATCGACTGACCACCTCCTGCATGCGCCCCACTGGGGATTGGGCCCACAACCTGGGCATGTGCCCTGACTGGGAATCGAACCAGCGGCCTCTTGGTACATGGGTCAACATCAACCACTGAGCCACACCAACCAGGCCCCTTTGTCTTTTTTTGAAATGGACTTGTCCTTTAGTTGTTGTATCAATACAGTTTTTCTGTTTCTCTCTTTATTCTCTGAATATTTTTGCCTATGTTTCCTTGCCAAATTCTTAGTTTTCTACCATGCAGAAGACAGTAGAGAAAAATAAAGTACTTTCAAGGTAATTCAACCATGAGATCAAAAGTGTCTAAAAAATACATATGATGTCATTTAGGTAACAGAATTATTGGGCCATCACTTTGAAAATTAAATAAACGTCTCACCACTATGTTGTATACCTGAAACTAATGTAAAATTGTATGTCAACTGCTATTGAAAAATAACATGTTAAAAAAAGAAATAAGCTAGGGAAAAAAAAGGTGGCAATGAAAATGAACAAATGATAAATTCAAGTAGTGTTTTGAAAGAAGGAATTAAAGGGCATAGTGATATACTGAACAGAGGGTTTTAGAAGAAAAGGAGGAAAAAACCTAAGAACACTTCCAGCCTTTAGCCTTTAGCATGGAAGAATGGGAAATAATGGCAAAAATGACCTGACTTGGGACAGACAGATGGTAAAATCAATTTTAGGTATTCCCCAAAACAGCTGGCTAGATCATAAAGGAAACTGGAAATAGAGGAGACTGGTTAAAAGATGAAAATTTAGCCCTGGCCAGTTTGGCTCAATGGTTAGAGAGGCGGCCTACAGACAAAAGGGTAATGGATTTGATTCCCAGTGAAGGGCACGTACCAGGGTTGCAGGTTTAATCCCCAACCCTGGTCAGAGTTGTGCGGGAGGCAACTAATTGGTGTGTCTCTCTCACATCGATGTCTCTCTGTCTCTCTCTCCCCCCCTCCCTTCCACTCTCTCTAAAAATCAATGAAAAAATATACTCAGGTGAAGATTAACAACAACAACAAAAAGAGTGAGCAATGTCATTCCATACACAAGCTAAGATCACTTACAAAAGCATATATAACACGTTGAAAATGCACACAATGAAGATGTTGCAAATGACACTGGCAAGACCATCAAGTAACTTGCCTAATATTAAACTAACCATTTTTCGATGGACTGCAATAATGTAACCTATAAAGTGATTGTCAGGAAGAGATGGCATATGACCATTCACCATTCCATTTGTGAAGCTCTTCTCAGTTCCACATGGCACAACCGTGTTTGGCATTCCATTGGGGATGAATATTGGTCGGGGCAGGTCCCCATTGGTGGTTAGGGTTAACATTCCATTTGTAGATGGAGAAGAGGAGAAATCTACGAATTCAAAGAAAAGTATAGTATCATAAGCTTGTAATACTTCCATCTTTGTCTTTTCTTAAATATTGTGAGGACCCAGACCACTGATAGTATAGTCTCTTTTCATAAAGAACAAGGAGAAATTATAGTTCAAATAATAATTCTATATTAGAAGATTTTCATTTCAGATATTACTTATATAACTCACACTTAAGCCTAAATGACAAACCAAGAATAACTGATAGAAAGTGTAAATAGAATTTTTGCAGAAATCTTTATCAGAATCATGTTGTGGCACTCAAACAGTTCTACCACTTGTTTTCTTTTTCCTCTCCTCTAGAAATGCATTTCTCCATTCCTCTAAATATGTTCTGTCCAATACAGCAATCTCTAGCCAGATGTTGCTTTTCCTTTTTTAAAATTTCATTAAACTTTTTTTTTTTTTAGAGCAGTTTTAGATTCACAGCAAAATAAAGAATGTACAGAAATTTCCCACATATCCCTTGCCCCACACATGCATAGTTTCCCCCAATAACAACAACCCCCACCAGAGTGGTACATTTGCTACAACTGATGAAAGATGTTGCTTTTTAACTTAAAATGAAATACATTTCCTTAGTCTAATCATTAGCCACATTTCAAGTGCTCAACAATTCATGTAAACTTTCATCACTGAAGAAAGTTACATTGTTCAGTGAAGATCTAAACAAAAAAGCAATATTAAATCATCCACCAAATCATCAGTTCTATCTATTAAGTGCCAATGAGAGAAGCCTCATTCTCTCTGCAGCACTTTATAATTAATTAGGGAATGAACCTAATTATCAGCAGTATAAAAAAGAACAAACAACCGTATCAATGGTCAAAAGACTCATTAGATGACCATATTAAATCATATGCAATATTAGATAAACAAATTACTTTTTAGTCATATTTACTGTCATGTTTGTGTGTGTGTGTGTGTTTTAGCCTCACCCGAGGACATTTTTGTATTTATCTTCAGATAGAGCGGGAGAGAGAAGGGGTGGGGAGAGAAACATCGATGTGAGAGAGTCACATGGAGTGGTCGCCACCCACAAGACCCCAACTGGGGCCGGGGACATATGCAACCGAGGTACGTGCCCTTAGTGGGAACTGAACCCAGGACTCTCTGGTCCGCAGGCCAACGCTCTAACCGCTGAGCCAAACCAGCCAGGACTGCTGTCATTTTTTTTTTTTATCCTCACCCGAGGACATTTTTCCATTTTTTGTTCAGGTAGAGTGGGAGGGAGAGAGAGGAAGAGAGAGAGAGAGAAACATCGATGTGAAAGGGACACATCGAGTGGCTGCCACCCGCACGACCGACCAGAGCCGGGGACAAACTGCAACCGAGGTACATGCCCTTAGTGGGAACCGAACCCGGGTCTCTCAGGACCGCAGGCCGACGCTCTAACCGCTGAGCCAAACCGGCCAGGGCTGCTGTCATGTTTTTTGATAGCACATTCTTCTCACACTATCTGTTGCCATGTTAGTATTAGATAAAAGAGTAAAAAGAGACCTGAATTCTAGTGGTAGATTAACTCATAATTATCGCCCTGGCCGGTTTGGCTCGGCGGTTAAAGCGTCGGCCTGCGGTCCTGAGAGACCCGGGTTCGGTTCCCGCTAAGGGCATGTACCTTGGTTGCAGTTTGTCCCCGGCTCTGGTCAGTCGTGCGGGTGGCAGCCACTCGATGTGTTCCTTTCACATTGATGTTTCTCTCTCTCTCTCTGTTCCTCTCTCTCCCTCCCACTCTACCTGAACAAAAAATGGAAAAATGTCCTCGGGTGAGGATTAAAAAAAAAACAAAAAAAACCCCTCATAATTATCTATTTAACTTAGTTACTTAGGTTCTCTGAATTTTAGGCCCCTCACCTATAAAATGAAGAATCTGAGCCAAATCATCACAAAGGTTTCCTTCAGCCTGAGAAATTCTTTTGCTCTAATATCCTCAGTCCAAACAAATATAAAAAGGATAACCCTTAGCCCAATATTTAAGCTGAAATCATGAAAAGAAGCCCTAGTTTTACCATACCTGTCTGTATTGGACTAGAAGCTGAAATTGGAGATCCAGGGATGGGAATTTCAAATGCACACAAAAATCCACTCACTGAGAGTCGTACTTTTTGGTTGTCCTGAGGGAAATTCTATAGAAAAGGAGGCAAGAAGAAAATGTTTCAGATAAAATGGAAAATGAACTCGTGATATATTTGAAGCAAAATGTCTTAGATGCTTTTATCACTAAACAGACAAGATGAATGAATAATAATTCTCAAATAACTAAAAGATGAAAGCTTGATAAACTAACTTCACTGACAAAACCATTATCACTTTCCATAGAAAGGAAGTATATTGTGTATAATTGGTTTCTTAAGTTTTGTCCTTCACTTCAAGGCATCTAAACCCAAACCCTCAGAGAGATCTCTTTTGCATTACATATGAACAAAATGTCAATAAGGTGGGAGAGCTTGTTCAGAAAACCCAAAGATAAATATAAATAATTCCAATGGTAGGAGCTCAATTTAGAGTTGGCAATATATTTATTAAATTGTTTGTTTCTCCAGCTGATACGCAGGAAGTAGTGATTTGTGTCAACTCGTCTTTACTCTCTAAATTCCTAGTGTGTTAAAGGCCAGGTATATATATTCATAAATAAATACTAAAAACACATTCATAAATACATCAACTACTTTAACCTAGAAAGAATCCTAGTGACAGTGGTAATACAGAAGAGGTGCCAAGTGTAGCTGCAGTAGCCACTGGAGGAAATCTATACTGTAGTTGTAGGTCACTCCATATGGGTAGTCTTGGGCTTATATAATTCCCTTCTTTTAAAAATACCACCATTATCATTACTCCTTTATTCTGGCAGACAACCCTTTTCAGTTTCTGAGATGAAAAACTTTTTTTTTTTTAAAAATTTTTGTAAGAGTTTATTTAAGCCAAACTGACAAAATATGCTGGGAGTAAGATCTCAAATGCTCCAGGGAATGGAATGGAAGACTTGACAATTTTTTGTTTAGTTGTTGCATTTTAATACCTCCCTCGGTCATTTAACATCATAATTAATTGAGAAAACTGATCTTTGAAGGATGGAATCAAGGGTTTCCTAGAAGGAATAGTTAATATTACCTTTATGTTGGAACCATGTACTTCTGCAAGAAGGATTTGTTCTGATTTAAGTCCACAGAGATCACTCAGCTGTTTTTTTAAACCTGTATACTTTTCATCCATATTCAGTCTTAGTCCATAACGTACAGGGGTAGTACCATCCAACTTAATAACTAGTAATGAGAAAAGATCTATTATCAGCAAAATGCAAGATTTCAGTGAAAGTTTTAGACCGTATGTGTGTATGTGTTTATGACTTGGAAATGGCAAATATTTCAATCTAGAATTTTTATTTTATATGTAAACACTACAACAGATGATACTTAGGGATCACAATGAGTGAAATCTTTTTTTTTTTTTTTAATGTCCATCTGTTATGGAAGCGTAAGTGGCTTTGCAAGATTTTAAAGAGAGTTACTGGCATGTTTAAAACTAACAAAGTGGTATCAATAAGCACAAAAATGGACCCACATTCCAAGTCTTTCAAACCTCAAATAATATAAAATTAGATGGCTAATTATAATAGACTATCAATTTTTATGAAAACAAATTACCATACTTACAAATTCAGGCTGCTTGAATAAGGTCAAAGACAATGGAGTTAAGTTTTTTAGAACTTTGTGACCTACCTGTTATTTCTAAGTGCATATAACTGTCCATTGGTAGTGGCAAAGACAAAAAATTGAATGGATCAAATCGGACACTTATATGACCACATGTCTTGCATTTGACTTGGGACCTTAACTGTCCATGGAACAAATCTACAACAATTGATCTATTCCTTCTCAGATGGTTGTCCCAGGCCTATCAGAGAAAAAGATTAGAGAAAAAAAAATTTTGAAAGTTCAAAAGGACAGTACTTCTAAACAAATTCAAAGAAACTGGTTAAGTAAATGAGATTTAAATGTCAAGAACATAATCCTCAACAGTCATTTAAAATATAAAATCTTTCAGTCTACAAACTTATAATTTAGATATAAAATTGAAAATGTATTGCGTAATGAGATAGAGAAAACCAGTTATTCAATAGAATATTTCTTTCTGTTCAGCCTACAAAATGTATATATATTTTATGGAATGCTTCACGAAGTTGCATGTCATCCTTGCGCAGGGGCCATGCTAATCTTCTCTGTATCGTTCCAGTTTTAGTATATGTGCTGCTGAAGCAAGCATTCAACCTACAGAATATTAAATTCAGATGGAAAAACATTTTTTCTTTGTTCTTACCATGGTAGAGTTCATTATTCATTAAAAAGGAAATAAAATATGTCTATTGGTCACTGTACACATTACTTTAGCAATTATGGGGACTCCTTTTTTTTAATCGTCATCTGAATATTTTTCTATTGATCTTCAGAAAGAGTGGGAGGGAGAGAGAGAGAGCAAGAGAGACAGAAACATCCACATGAGAGGGACACATTGACCAGTTGCCTCTCGCACGACACTGACCAGGGCCGGGGACCAATTACAATCGAGGTAAGCACCCTTGACCAGAATCGAACCCAGGACTCTTTGGTCCGCAGACCTATGCTCTAACCACTGAGAAAAACCGATCAGGGCAGAGACTCTTGGAGTTAATGAATAATTATTCCTACATCCTATCACAAAGTGTACAATGTGAAATGGAAACATTTTTTTGGTTTTCATTTAAAAATACTTTGTTTTGGCATTACTGCACAAAAATTAAGCAGAGAAATACCAATTCCTTCACTTTAACAGTAAAATTTTGATCACAGAATTTAAGTTGTATAACACCTATTTGTGGCCAGAACATTTTATCTATTGCTTACATTAGAAACTCAAAACTGACAAACCTCTGCAGCTACTTCCCAGTCTGGTCGGCCATCACTGTCTTTCAGTTCCACATATGGCTTCTCATGGACTCGGTTGAGATCTTCATGAAGACCATCCAAGAGAAAAGCCAGAAGTTCTTGGGAATCTTGCTGCTGGAACCCATTAAACCTGGGAGCATATTTTGCTATCGTCCACTATAAATAAAAGAGGAAGCAAACTCATTATTCGCTACCCCATAACATTTGGAATAAATATGCCTCATAATTCAACCGGAAGCATTATAAGAAGGTAAATAGTACAGTATTTTGGCCAATATGATATCCCACTTCAGCATCATAAAAACAAAGTTCTTTAGGTATTCCGATGTTACTTAAGACAGTAAGACAGAAATATGAAAATAGCATTTGCTCACATTAAAAGAGTTCCTATTATAATGTTTTCTTTTAGACTTAATTTTTCTTGTCTTATTGCATCCTAACTTCTATTATCAGAGGTAGAACAGCCTCATGCTTAACTGTGAGATCTTACTAACTAGCTTGCAACCATGGGCAAGCTATTCAGCTGCTCTGAGCCTTAGTTCCTCAGCCATAAAATGGGGATAATAACATTACTTTATATTATAGGGCTATAAAGAAGATTAAATGAGTTAATATACATAAAGTAAGGAGAACAGTGCCTGGTAAGTGGTAGCCAAATGTTTAGCTATTATAATGATTAATTTTTAACCTAAAAAGATTTTGTCTTGTTTTAAAATAAAGATAAAAATAATACTAACTTCACAAAAATTCACAAATGATATTAATACAAAATTTTATCATTACATTCTTTCTTTCTGCTACTTAAAAAATTCTACAGATAGAACTTATTACCATAATAATGTTAAAAATGTATTGCGTGTCATTAATTAGACTCAGGAGTCTATGTTACAGTTAGAATATTGCTAACAGTGATGGATTAACAAAGAAAGGTTTACTACATATAAAAGATACTTGATGAATTAGTGAAATAAATTACATATCAAATTTAGGCTGTGTCTTTATCTTTCCCTACCCACTCACTATATCTATAGCTATATTTTGCATATATTTAAATAGGTAAAAGTATTTGACATTCAGTATATGCCTAGGGAAGCATCCAAAAAAATAGTTAAATTAAAACTAAAAAGCTAAACAAAAATATGTAGATAAAAATAATTTCTTAAACAACTATTCAGGACTTAAATACATTTATATTATTTTAACTGCTTACCCGAAGCTTTAATGGAGCAACATTCTTCTGAGTTCCACTCCAAAGTTCCTGTACTAAATCCCCATAGCATTTAGCCATATGCCCCTTCATACCAATGGGATTTGTCCTAGAAGTTTGAGAGGAAAGTTTGTTGCCAAAGATTCTCATAAATAACAATCATGTGGGCACAAAAAATGTCTAGCATCTGTTTTTTCACATCAAAATTTCTTTTTTAAAAGAAGAGAAATATCCCCTGGCCCTTCTTTAATACTAAATAGAGCAAATAAGGTAAAAATTTTCTTTCCCATGGTAAAGAAAGAGGAAATATAGGTGATAATGAGTTCATATCAAAGTTATAAAAGTTAAGAGGCCAATGACTCAAGAAAGATTACCTGTTCAGTTCATAAAGATGTCTCCCTGAGATAAAATACTGTGTCAGTGGCTGTGTGTTACTAACACACTGGATGCTTGAGTTCATGAAGCATGTGTTTCCCAGGTTACTCAGACCTGTGGCTCCCTTTTCTGTGGGAACTGGAACAAACAATATGAGAATCGAAGACTAGCTGTAGTCAAATGTCATAGACCAAACAGTTGCTTATATACAACGCAACTTTTTTATAACTTTTTAAATCAGCTAAGTGGAGCTAATATTTCTTTATTTGGTCTTGTAATACTATAGTAGAGGAGGTTTTTCATGGCGTGTTATTGGCAATCATGACGATCCATGCTCATTTGCAATCTAAAAGTAGCAATAATTCTCTTTAATTCCTATGCCAGTTTTTTTTTTTAATTTAAATATTTCTCTCCTAGAATTATGCCTTTAAAAATATATAAATTAGATCTTTCTTAGGCTATCTGTGAGAATGAACTGTTGGATTTATGAGGGTTGTATCCTTTGCTTTGCACTTTTTGCTTCCCTCGTTAGGCCATAAAAGACTTACTGGTTGAATTGCTATAAATCATACCATTACTGGCCAGAATAGTGAGTATCTTGAACTGAAAAACTTGAACTGACTTTTAGGATGGAAAATTTTGGAGAGCTCTCATATTGGTATAATGATTAGCCATTAAGACACCCTTAATAAGATAGATGGAAAGGCAGAAGGAAAAGTTAGAGAATTCCCAACACGGTGAAAAAATTTTAAAGTTATTTAAATATATAAGAAAATCTTAGAGAAATTTGGTAAATTATACCTATGTAAGCAGTATTAATATATTTACATTTTTCGCCCTGGCCAGTTTGGCTCAGCGGTTAGAGTGTCAGCCTGCGGTCCGGAGAGACCCGGGTTCGGTTCCCGCTAGGCATGTACTTCGGTTGCAGTTTGTTCCCGGCCCTGGTTGGTCGTGCGGGTGGCAGCCACTCGATGTGTCCCTTCACATCGATGGTTCTCACTCTCTCTCCCTTCCTCTCTCTCCCTCCCACTCTATCTGTACAAAAAATGGAAAAATATCCTCGGGTGAGGATAAAAAATAAATAAAATAAATATATTTACATTTTTCTCTCTACCTGATCCCTCCAGAATTTGAAAATTCTTTTTTGTAATAAATTTTTTCTTTATTGATTTTGGAGAGAGAGAAACATTGATGAGCGAGAACACCGATTGGCTACCTCCTGCATGTTCCCCCACTGGGGATTGGACCCACAACCTGGGCATGTGTCCTGACCAGGAATCGAACTGGCAACCTCTTAGTGCATGGGTGGATGCTCAACCACTGAGCCACACTGGCCAGGCAGAATTTGGAAACTCTTTATGACCATCTACACCATGATCAAGAAGGCCCTCATCTTTACCTGGTTCATCCTGGCTGTGACTTTCTTTGCATCATCCCCACACAATATCAATGACCTAAACATTAACACTGACTAAGAGTCAAACACTGCCGTGGATTCCACCACTGACCTAGACTGGAGCACTGTCCCAGACTCCAACACTGATGTATATTTGGAAAGCACCCTGAATTTTGATTCTTTATTGATGTGGAATCAAAGAATACCAGCTTTGTAGAAGAAGCAACTAAAGCTACAGCAAGTATCACTAGTGATTATTCAGAAGAGCCCATGACTGGAGCACCAGAAGAGTTCAAGCACCTCAATGGAAAGCAACAAGTTCATCTCAGTGCTTGTTTAAAAGGAAATAAATGTTCCACCAGTAGTGTCCACCACCATGCTACCCTCTACTTTCAAAATTAGTGAAACAGCATGATCTTCTCAGTCCACGAGAAACAGCAAGGCATTGATCCTGGGCTAAGTGGAAAAAAATCTGACACAATTTGGGGGAGGAGCATTTCTTAACCATTTCTTATTTAGTATGAGTTCAATAAATGTTCACTTTTATTGAAAAATATATTATAGCCCTGGCCAGTTTGGCTTGGCGGTTAGAGCGTCGGCCCAAGGACCAATGAGTCACGGGTTCTATTCCTGTCAAGGGCATGTACGTCGGTTGCGGTTCGTCCCCGACCCTGGTCAGGGTCATGTGGGAGGCAACCAGTCAAAGTGTCCTTCTCACATCAATATTTCTCTCTCTCTCCCTCCCTCCCACTCTATCTGAAGATAAATAGAAAAATATCCTCAGGTGAGGATTAAAAAATATACCAGTCCTCAGGTGAGGATTAAAAAATACACGTACGTGTGTGTGTGTGTGTGTGTGTGTGTGTGTGTGTGTGTATAACAGAAAAATATATTATATAAATTATTTAATTGCAAGGTTAGGAAGAAATCTGATGCATCAGGAAAAATAAAAATAAAAGGGGGGGGCCTAGTTACTTTTTAAAATGTTTTTTTTCTTTATTGATTTGAGAGAGAGAGGGAGAGGGAGAGAGAAATAGAAACTTTGATGAGAGAAAACATCAACTGTCCGCCTCCTGCACGCCCCCCACTGGGGATAGGGCCCACAACCTGGGCAATGTGCCCTGACCGGGAATCGAACCAGTGACCTCTTGGTGCATGGGTCAATGCTCAACCACCGAGCCACACGGGTTGGGCTACTTTTGAACTAGAAAGCCAAAAGTTGTTAACACTCCAATAGTTGAGGGAAAATAATAAGAATGTATTTTAAGATAATCTATTTAAAAATAATACACTGGAGACTTACCCTTGTGTCTGTCTATTTTACTACTGTTTGCTATAAAGGACATTTCCTCAGGCCAACTCATATCTTTGTTTCGAACTAGAAAGATAGATAAGAATGTGTTAATTTCTTATCCATTAAAATCACACCCCCTCAACTACTTTTGTTAAAAAAAAAGTTATTTCTTAATCAGAAACTATAAAGAAAAAAAATCAAGTTATTTTTAGTAACTGACTCTGAAATCATTCTGATTCTTTATTCTGGGAACTTTATAATCACTTAGTTAGAATTAATTAGTAAGCTATTCCCTCAATTACTTACCTGGAGTAAAATTACACCTATAGAAGTAATGAAAGCTCTTAAAGTTAACACATTATAACTATTATAAATTCTTTCTTAAATTGTGACAACTGTGAGAGTAATCTATTCATTTTAATACAAAAGCAGCTAGCAATGTTTCCATAAATATTGATGGGAGAAGGCACACTTTAACTTTTCAGTGACATGTGTGTAAATTTATGTATGGTTGTACAAGGAAGCTCAGTTGGTGAGTGACCAGTGTTGATGACTAATGAAAGCCACTAACTATGCAAGAAAATTAGTCTCCTTATTCAAACTCAAAGAGGCAGCTTTAAAAATTTAAGAATCTTTGTAAACTTATAATTCACTTGTTTCTATCCACCGTTTCCACCCCTTGCCAGACAATAAATGTAGATATATTTTTCTTTTAAAGTAATATAAATAGTATGTAGGATTATATAAGGGTTTAATGGGGTTCCTTTACCATAAAGAATATATCAAATAAAAGTTGAAAAAGTTATAAATAGATTATTAGTAACCAAATCTTTGACTTGTTCTTCTAAATATCTAATATAATGCATGCTTCTTTCTTGTACCTTCAATTACTAGGTGCTGCTCATCTTGAATTTTCAAATACTCCAATTTATGATCTTCATCATCCAGAAGAGTAAGGTAATTCTGTGTATGAAGGATGAAATGTTTCTGTTAATTTGATTAATAAGCTTGAAACAAAGATGAAAATAAAAATGAACAACAATGGAAAATACCTTTGTACTTACATAACCAATGTAACAGATATTAGGCCTACTATAGTTGTTCAGAAATACTTTTAATTTAGGTGGTAAAATGAGGGAAAACCAAGATATACTTCATAAATATGTACTATATATCTCTAAAACAAAGTTATACAAAATTTAGGGAAGATCAGAAGAAGGCTCATTACATATTAAACCTAGTATGAAATTCAGTAAATATGCCTGTGATCAAGAGGAAACTTGATCACTTACTAGGAACTAAAAATGTAAAACCAAATGTCATGTAGTAGAATTATACATTTTTGTTTATGCTCACCCTGTCTAAAGTGCTCACACAATTAATATGTTTTTATTGATTTTCTTTTTTAGATAGAGAGGAACGAAGAGAGAGATAGAAACATCCATGAGAGAGAAACATGGATCAGAGGCCTACTGCACGCCCCCTACTGGGGATCGAGCCCCCAACCCGGGCATGTGCCTGACCTGACCTCTCAGTCCATGGGACAATGCTCAATTCACTGAGCCACACCGGCTGGGCAAGTGCTTACACAATTAATTCACTTAATTTTTACAAGTTCCCTATGGGAGATATTATTATTTTCCCCATTTACTCATGAGAAAACTGAGATAGAGTTAAATGACTTTCCTTTGGTTATATAACTAACAGGTGGCAGAGCCAGAATTTAATCCCTGGCAGTTTGGCTCCAGAAGCCATGCTCTTAAACTATTATACTATACTGCCTTTGGTGACCAAAGGTGGATGTAAAAAAGGAACTAGGGAGCCCTGGCCAGTTTGGTTCAGCGGTTAGAGCATCAGCCTGCGGTCCAGAGAGACCCGGGTTTGGTTCCCACTAAGGGCACGTATCTCAGTTGCAGTTTGTCCCTGGCCTTGGTTGGGTCATGTGGCAGGCAGCCACTTGATGTGTCCCTTTCACGCCAATGTTTCTCTCTCTCCCTCTCTCTCCTTTCCACTCTATCTGAACAAAAAATGAAAAAATGTCCTCGAGTGAGGATAAAAAAACAAAACAAAAAAGGAACTAGGGAATAGAGAATTGGTTAAAACTACTTATGATCCAATTTCAGATTATAATCTGAAAACACAATACAAATTAAGCAATTAACTGCACTGCCTCTGAGGAGAATGAAAGACAGGGGTCAGAGAATGGTAAGGAAGAATGTTAACTATATACTTTTGTATTGTTTGAATTTTTTAACATGTGCATGTTACTTCAAAAGAAATAGAAAATAAACTCTATTTAGTTGAAAAAAAGATATTTTGTTATTTTATAACAATAATCTTTATAAGATAGTACTATCCTTAATGATTAAGTGGTATTACGAATTTCAGGTGACAAATATCTACATGTATGCATATAGTAATTTAAAAGATGAAGTTTTCGCCCTGGCCGGTTTAGTTCAGCGGTTAGAGCGTCGGCCTGTGGTCCAGAGAGACCCGGGTTCGGTTCCCGCTAAGGGCATGTACCTCGGTTGCAGTTTGTCCCCGGCTCTGGTTGGTCGTGCGGGTGGCAGCCACTTGATATGTCCCTTTCACATCGATGTTTCTCTCTCTCTCTTCCTCTTTCTCCCTTCCACTCTATCTGAACAAAAAATGGAAAAAAATGTCCTCGGGTGAGGATAAAAAAAAAAGATGAAGTTTTCACTGAGTTCCTTGGCATGGTTTTCAGCATAATTACTGTAGACAATAATCCCATACTCATAAAATACAAATTTAACACTTGATCTCTGCATGGAGATGCCTTCTTGACTCTGAGATGCCTCTTACCTCACTGTTGTATAGCCACAGGCGCATATCTTCTTCTTTGATACGCAGTCTCTGAGACAGATATTCATGAATTTCCTTGATGGTCTGCATTCTACTAAAACAGCCTGTGTAGGCTAAGACCCGCTTTAATGGCGCATTTGGAGAAGGTACATTTCCTATGGTCATAGTAATCACAATAAGGAAAAGACAGATGTTTAAAAAAAGCATCCCTCAGCAATGGGGACCACACTATTTTAGGGAATAATGATGAAAAATGAGAATTAGAGGTTTAATAACTTTATAAATTAAGAAGCTTTAAAATAAACCTTTAAAATGAAGACAGGAAACCCAAGTATCTTAAGTGAGTCCAAAGTCTTAACTTTGAAAGGAAGCAACAAAATCACAGAGACTCAAATAATTAGCAGAAGAATGGCAAATATAAACAAATAGGCATTAGTATCTTGGCTGCCCTCAGCTGGGTCACACTCAACAGCAACATCAAAATTTAGCATACAAATAGAGAAGATAAAATGGGACTGGATTTGAATTTTACAGATACTTAATTGGATTCACCAGATCCACTTTCTTCAAATAAATTGTCTTTGAATTATTAATCCCATCATTCTCGGTTATTAAGTGGCCTAATTACCTGGAACACTGGTACAATTAATTACACAAGAAAATTTTACTTAAAATTCTACGTAGACATAGACTCTACATGGCCAAACACAGTTTTAAAGTGAAGCCAAGAAGCTTCCTAGTACCAAAAAAAGGCCTAATGAAAAGTCAAGGGGGTAAAAATCATGTGATATGGCCTGAGCGCCCAATAAGATGGCAGCGGACATGACCTTGAATTCCTGAAAAACTCAAGGTGGAAACAAAAAGAGTGTCAGTAAGGGGAAAGAGTGAAGAGTGAAGGAAGAATATGTCAAGTCTAACCACATACTTCAAAATAGAAGGGGGATAAAATGATAAGAAATTATGGAAATAAAAGATAGGTTGCTAAAACAACCTGCTAAACCCTGGTTAAACTATTCAGACAAAAATTGAGACAAAGTTATGGTCATATCTTGTCTATGGGAGGTTTTAGTTTATTGAGAAATCCAAAACTAAAATAAACTTAACATATGGATATAATCCATCTTGCATACAATTATATATTCCAGGTAGTTTTCCACGCATTCAGTGGTGATTTAGTTTTATTCTTCTTATTAAATGCATTATGAATCTTTATTTACTAAATAAAGCAGAGCAAAGTATAGGTATCATCTGCTTTTTTAGAGCTCCCAAAAAGAATTCATTCACCTAAAACAGGTTGAAAAATCATCTAGGAAATAATAATTTTTGTAGCTTTGTATGTCAAAAAGGCTATCTTTATTATTATTATTTTTTCATCCTCTTCGACCGAGCGCACAGCTTCGGGAGGGACGCACATGAATCGGTGAGGGAGGTGAAGAACCCTCGCCTAGTTCGCCAGATCAGCCGAATCAACCCTGGGAATGAGTGGGGTAACAGATGTCACAGCCAGATTGCCCTCACATCCAAAAAGGCTATCTTTAAGTCATTATAACTGTGGCAAGGTTTGTAATACTTGACACTACAAAAGGAATAAAAGAGCCTAGTAAACAGCTGTAATAAATTGAGTAATGACAAAGATGAAAACTATGCTGTGGCAGAACAAAACCCAACCATGATCAATTTTAAAAACATAGCAAAGCAAATCTTTTACTATCAGCAAGCAAAGGATAATCATTAAAAGAAAACAAAGAGAAAAGTTCTCTAATTATACATCAGAGGATTAGTTATAAGATTACAGCAAGAAAGCATATTTTTACAAACTTCAAAATGATTAATGATTGATTTCACAACTAATTAGTAAGGAATAAAATTCCAAATTGAGAACAAATTTGGAGCATAATAACTAACCAGTTCTAGGATTTAGAAGCATTTGCAAATATAGTGTCCAAGTCAATTCTATTATCCTAAGCCACATATGAAATTTATTTGAATTCCAGACAGTTTTCATAGCATAGCTCATTAAGCAGGCAGCCACTTATTATACAAAATTTTGTGCTTTTGAATAAAATCGGCAAATCTAGTGGAATTTACAGAGCAGCAAAAATCTAGGATCAGCACAAGAGTTGCAAAGAATACTTACTAAATGTGCAATAACACATCTTGCCTCTCATGTTATCTTTCAAAGAGAATTGAA